AAAAAAAAAAAAAAAAAAAACAACAATATACCACAAGTGAAAAACTCCACACCTGACCAAAGTTCACAAACTTTGTTTCACGCACACATTTTTTTTTTAATTTTTGTTATTTCTTATTATAAAGATGTGAGATACAATTCAGGGTTAGGTATACAAACATTGGAAATGCAAGTACCCTTGTTGATGAGGTATGACAAATTTTTTTTAATGTGTAAAATTACCTTCAGACAATGTGTATTAAATGTATATGAAACATAAATGAATTTCATGTTTAGACTTGGGTCTCTTCTCCAAGATATCTCAGTATATATATGTAAATATTCCAAAATCCTAAATCTAAAATACTTCTGGTCCCAAGCATTTCAGATGAGGGATAGTCAACCTGTGCAATATAGATTTTTCAGATACACAGGGTGTTTCAGCATTTTTAACATAATATAGCAATATATAGATAAAATGGGCCAGATGTGGTGGCTCACACCTGTAATCCCAGCACTTTGGGAGGCTGAAGCTGGAGGATCACTGGAGACCAGGAGTTCAAGACCAACCTAGGCAACATAGTAAGAACTCGTCTCTCCAAAAAATCAAAAATTAGCCATCCATGGTAGCACACACCTGTAGTCCTATCTACTCAGGAGGCTGAGGCAGGAGGATTGCCTGAGCCTAGGAGGTCAAGGCTGTGGTGAGCTATAATGATGTCACTGCACTCCAGCCTGGGTGACAGAGTGAGACTCTTGAGTCAAAAACTAAAATAAAATGTATTAACATAATATACTTGCCTCGTGTATCTCATAAGTGAATCACCTAAGACTCACTGACATTTTACCCCTTTTCCTTTACTAGCCTGGTATGTCTACAGTTCTAGTCAGAGTATATAACTGCTCCTTATCATTATAAAAAAAGCAAATCTAGAAATTACCAAAACATTACTGCTGATAAATTTTTGAAATACAGATATGTGTACAGCAGTATTATTATTGTTATTATTATTGTTATTATTATTATTGGCAGTGCCCTGTGCTTACCTGACCTTGAACTACCTCTGCCTCTTTTTTTTTTGCCCTGGGGCTCAATTCCAACTCAGTGTCCAGTTTCTATGGAGCGAGAGGAGAAAACAGAGAACGATGGTGACCTGGCTAGACTCCCCCCAAGGAATTCTTTCCATCACCTGCACCATCGACAGGAGTTGCCACAGCCTTTTCTTCAGGGTGAAAGAAGAGATGTCTTTATCACCTTAATTACCATGACAAGAAGGAAAATTATAGAGTTGTAATATGGTCTTTGGGGGAACAGTCTGCTCTTACAGAGATTTTGGGGGGATGTCTGAAAACTGATTGTTAGACAAGAAATTTAAAACAGACCAAGGAATTTTTATAGCACTTAGATATTTATACAATATAAAGAATCGTCTCCTCTTGTGTATGGTCCTGTTTATCTATATAATGAGTGTCCTGAGCCAAGACCCCAGTTTTGGCTCCAGAAATGAATATATCTCAAAATACCTGGGCACTCATCTCATGTAAGCCTCAAATTCAGCCTTTGAGATTTTTATCTGGCAAGTGATTTATGTGAAAAGAATTAAAGTGTTTTTTATTTATCTTTATTTTGTTTCAGAAAAAAATCTACCATGTTTTTACTCAAGAATAATTTTACTTGTCAGTGATAACATCAATACTTGTTTTAATCCAAGTTTCATAGAGATGTGTCAGAACTAAAATTTTAAGCAAATAAAAGCAAATGCATCTTGTTTCCTTTATCATGAAATCAAATATATGTTTCAAATTCACTAAAGGTGTTGTGAAACTTTTCTGACCGTCTAGCTGCTGCTTCCAAATTAATCCCTTCATTTTGTTTCAGGAAAGAGACTTTGATGACACCTATCCTGTTTAGCCTGGAGACTCTGCCATTAACCAGCAACCCCAGCTCTGACCCAGTGAATCCTAATGCTTGGTTTAGCCCGAGCTTAAAACCAAGAAGAATCTAGACTGTATTTATTTTGGGAACATTGTGATTTCTGTTTCTCTACTTTGGTCCCAGAGTTTTTTTTTCCCTCCCTATTTCAGGTACTGGGGAGAGTGCCAACAGTTTCCATTAATAAGACGGAAGGTTGCCACATATACCTCAGTGAAGATGCATTAGACTGTGAGATTGTGAGCGCCAAGTCATCTGAAATGAATATTCTTATCCCTCAGGATGGTGATTATGTAAGTACCTTTCAAAAGGCTGTCGAGAATTTTCCTTGAGTCGTCATGATTAACATTCTTAAAGATTGATTAATCAACTACCCACCTGTGAGCTCCATTTGTAGAATAATTCAAAGCCAGGAGAGGAATTCAGGGAACTGCCTGCCACATCCCTTCCCTCCTGTTAGCTTCTTGGCTGGGCTCACTCCTGGATTTGTGAGTGTCAAGGCCATTTACTAATAATTACTTTAATGGGCTAGCTCTTATCAAATAGCACAGTGTGCATCTGAGTTTGTATTGTGTAGGACTAGATATTTCCCTTTGCGCTTGTGGAAGTAAACAGGAAAGAGGGAGAAATGCTTTGGGGAAAAAGTGAGAGGGAGGAGCGGTGCTGATAAGTAGCTGTACTTGTGCAGTCATGCTTAATTCAGAGGTCCTCAGGCTCAGCGTAAGCATCAGCTGGGAAGCTTGATGAAAATGCCAACTTCCAAATCCTACACCTGCAGGTTGGATTCAGGAGGCTTGGAGTGGGGCACAGGAATCTGCATTTTAACAGTCATCCCAGGTGATTCTGATGTCATCAGGACCTCCAACAGCCCTTCTGAGAAACACTAGCCTAAGTGATTTGCCACTTTTTATTTTCCTTTATTGCTTCCTCTCCCTTTCAAAGCAGCTTCTAAAAGAAGCATGCTGATATTCTCACACACAGAAAGGGAGTATACATAAATAAATACATTTTTCTGGATCAGGAAGCATGGTAGATCTGTTAGTTGTTGCTACTTGGAAGTAAGGAAATAAATACAGAGAGAATTCCCTCTGAATTCAGCTGTGCAGGGCCAGTGAACCAGGGAAGGACAGGGGAAAGCATAAATTAGCGGGTACATATCAAGAAGAGGCGCCCTCTTCAGCCTGAGGGGTTGGTCAGTCTCCAGCATCTACATAGCTGTCAATATGCAGGTTCATCTCAGGTCGACCTCTTTGGGCAGACAGCGTGACTGCTGCCATGTTCTCCCTTCTCCACCCATCGGTAAGTTCTTCAGCTTTGCCCAGCCTCATACCGTTTTTGCAGACTGGAATTCATCATTTAGGTTTAAAAAACAAAACTCGGGGTGGGGCACAGTGGCTCATGCCTGTAATCCCAGCACTCTGGGAGGCCAAGAGTAGAGGATTGCTTGAGCCTAGGATTCCGAGACCAGCCGAGACAACATAGTAATGCCTCGTCTCTACAAAATATCAAAACAAAAAATTAGCCAGGTGTGGTGGTGCATGCCTGTAGTTCCAGCTACTTGGGAGACTGAGGCAAAAGAATCGCCTGAGACCAGGAAGTTGAGTCTGCAGTGAGCTGTGAGCATGCCATTGCACTCCAACTTGAGCCACTACTAGGTGTATGGACAGCCCAGCCCTGAGCTAAAGAAGAATCCCCGCTTGGGCTCTCCACCTAAAAAAATTACTGAGGAACTCAAGTCAATACAGAGTAGCTTCAGAGTAGGAGAGCCAAAAATTGGGGTGAGCCCTGGCCTTTGCAGCTGTTTAAGCAGAAGGCTCAGCTGCATGGGACTGGATCTACTAAGAAAAGCAGTGGGGTTTGGAAGAACATTCCAGACTAATAAAGATAGAATCCCTGGGTGTGAGACCTAGGCATCTGTAGTGTTTAAAGTTTCCCAGATAATTCCAGTGTGGAGCCAACCTAGACATCCACTGGCCTAAAGGGTGAGTATAGGTCAACACATGAACTTTTATACTGAAAAAGCAAAGTCTTGCCTCTGTAGGTGTATCACCTTGTGGCCTCTGCCCTTGGCTGTCTTTATGCATTTTTGGTCGGAGGTGGTAGGGAACAACACAGAGGACCTGCCATGACATTAGTGTGTGGGAATGGATGGTGGGGATGCTTCATCCTGAAAGGAATTGGTGTCCCAGAGAAGATCTGTCATCATGTTACTGTCACCTCACTGCCAAAAACAGATCTGAAACAGCTGCATTGCAGTTACTATCAAAGAGGTACCTTCGTCTGGAGCCTTCTCTACTTGGCCTGGTACTTGAGAACAAACACCAAGCCTCGTTTACTCAAGAAGAGCCCCAGAAGGGTTATTGGCTACACAGTCACACAGATGCACCCTCGTTAGGTTACTGTGTTAAGATTATGGCTTCTTTGCTTCCTTTCAAGATTTTTTCTGTTTCAGATTTCACTCAAGAAAAATTCATTACTCATTATAGCAAGGGCCTTCCCTTTAAAATAAATAAATACATACATAAACGGCTTTGTCCAAAAGAAACGGCTGGATCCTACATCTAGGAAAGTAGACGCTCATGTGTGTTCCACTGAAACATCCCATTTCATGAGGAAAGGTATCAGCTTCTGAGACACATGGGTTTCAGCAAGCACTGCGTGAACTGTAAGAACAGGAAGGCCGGGAAGCCAGAGCTCAGGACTCCTTACCCTTCTCTTCTTCTTCTTCTTTTTTTTTTTTTTGAGTTGGTGTCTCCCTCTGTCGCCCAGACTGGAGTGCAGTGGCTGCTCCCGGCCGCCGCAGCCTCGACCTGCTGGACTCCGGCGATCCTCCCGCCTCAGCCTTCCGAGTAGCCGGAATTACAGGTGCACGCTACCACACCCGGCTCATTTTTTGATTTATTGTAGAGATAAGGTCTCGCTGCCCGGGTGGGTCTCGAACCCGCGGGCTCAGGCAATCCACTCACCTCAGCCTCCCAAAGGCACGGGATTACAGGCTGAGCCACCGAGCCCGGCTTACCCTTCTCGTCTATCCTCTTCTGAAATGACTGGAAAATCACTCTCTGGGAACGGAGAGTATCCAAAATACTTTTCTTTTGCCTGTTTTATGGTTTTCTTTGTGGTGTGTGTGTGTGTGTGTGTGTGTGTGTGTGTGTGTGTGTGTGTGTGTGTGTGTGTGTCTATTTTCCGATGCGAAGAGTAGAGTGCCATGTTGATGAGTAACAAATGTATATACGTCCTTAAGCACATTTTTATAATTCATCTAGGAGTCGAGCTAATTCGGACAAATTCCCATCAAAGAGTTGAGAGTGGCCGGGCCGGTGGCTCAGCCTGGAATCCCATCACTTTGGGAGGCCAAGATGAGTGGATTACCTGAGCCCGCAGGTCTGAGACCAGCCCGGACAACTTGGCATGATCTCATCTCTACAATAATTTTTTATTTTTTTTTTTAATTAGCCAGGCGTGGTAACACACACCTGTAGTTCCGGCTACTTGGAAGGCTAAGGAGAAAGGATCGCCAGAGCCCAGGAGTTCAACGCTGGGGTGGCTGTGAGAGTGCCACTGCACTCCAGCCTGGGCGACGGAGAGACTCCAACTCAAAAAAAAAAAAAAAAAAACACAGAGTCAAGAGCTAACTCTGGCATCATCTGGGAGTTGTTGGAAATGCAAAGTCTCACTCCCTTCTCCAGATCTACCTAGTCAGAATCTACATTTTACTAAGATCCCAGGTTGATTTCTGTGCATGATAAAGTTTGGTGGAGAATAGTGGGTAAGAGAGAGCCTATATTTGAATTCTGGTTGTTCTGCTTACTAGTGATATCACTTGGGGCCAGTGGCTTAGCTTCTCAGGCCTCTAGTTTCCTATAGAGGGCATCTCAATATCCCCCAGCTCGTAGGGTTGTTGTAGAAGATCAGCTGAGTTTGTCTGTGTCCAGTGCTTAGAAGAATGCCTGGCTCTCAATAAATGCTAGCTTTAACGATGATATTGGCATGCAGTCACAGAACTGACACATGACATATGCAAGTCTCTATGTGACAAAGACCTCTCCATGATACAGCTTTGGGTTTTATCAAATTTTTTTGCCCAACATGTGGCACAAATCAGCCTTCCATCTGTTTCAAAAGGAGGCCTTCTTTTAAATAACTGTGTTCTTTTTGCCTTTTTCCAGAGAGAATTTCCCGTTCCTGAACAGTTCAAGACAGCATGGGATGGATCTAAGTTGATCACTGAACCTGCAGAAATTATGGGCTAACCTCCCAAGAGACTGAATCCCCTCACCTGAATCTCCCTATCAAACAAACAAAAAGCAGCATTAAAGAGCTAGAAGTTGCAGTAACACCTACTGCTTTAGTTTTGGCCTCCAACAATTCTGTGCTGTAGAAACAGCATCATTTCTGGCATGCCTTCATGGGCATTTTAAAATAATTAACATTTCTTCATGACTTGTCTTTGTGTGTGATTTTAGTACCACATGATGACTTGTGAGCATTATGATTTAAAGGGAAAAAAAAGAATTCTGTTCCCCATATTATAAGCACAGTAACAGTTAGGTAAAAATACTGCATGATTCACTTTTACACTTATGTTTAATTGCTAGTTGAAAAATAAAATCATTAAGAATCTAAGATGTACATTTTTACCTTTTAGACAATTTCAATATGATGTAGTGCGCCCTGAAAAATGTACAATTTTTTTCTTATTGTCACCACATGCTCACCTTTATCAGTGAGGATACCCTATCAGCATGAATCCATACTTCAATCCACACTTTTAAAAAAGTAAGAAAATTCCATAATAAGGACCAAATTTGGTTTCTTGGTCCTTGCAAGACCTATATTCTTTATAGTTACTGAAAACGAAAGTAAGCTCATACTTCTTCGCATAAGAGATTCTTATGCCAAAAGAATGATGGGAAGAAACAGGTTTATTGCTATGTAATACCTCACAATTTTGCTCTAAGATCAAACTCAATTTTAGTTTCCAATTTTGAACCTGTTAAATATCACATGCCTTGTAAATGAGGTCTTTAATGTTTTGTTATAGACTAATTTCTTCTTTTCCACCTGCCAGACTTGCTAACCAATCTCGAAAATTAACATGAAAAACCATAGATGTATTACTTCTTCTAAAACCTAAGGAATTATTTGTTGGCTTGGCTTGCTGCTTCTACTTTGTAGTCTTGACAGTAGATGCTTTTTCAGCATAAGGATAACTATGATATTCCTTTGTATATTTTCAGTACATAGTGCTGAAAAATCTGCAACTTCTTGGATCACATTTAATGAATTATAGTATAATGCTTGCAGACCTAATACAAGCATATATATTGTGCCTCTTACAGCCTTTGGAATACATCATTTCCGTTTTTTAAATATCTTCTATATCCATATAGTATTTGAATTATTGATGCTCATGTACCAAGGTTTTGCTATAAAAAGTTTTGTCGGTATGAATAATGTTGTGGCTTTAGTAAATATCATTTTTCAACAGTAAACTTATTCTGAAATAAAGTAAAATTCTAATTGTTTAAATACTGTGATAAATTCTGGATGTGTAAGTTATTTTTTCCCGCTTTGATTTGCTTCTGAGTCATGTGTCAGACTTAGGGAAGACAGGTGAGTCCTTCTGGTTGAATTGGAGAATCTATCCAGCATGCCATCAGCATACCATATCTTCTCTGATAGATAGATATTCTTCAAAATATTAGATAGCCTAGGCCATTTGCAGTTGGAATGATTGTCAGTCAGAAAATTCTAGAATCCAGTTTTATAAATCAAGGCCTCTTCACTGAGAAAATCCTCCTCAAGATCTTTGTTCATGTAAACATCCCAGAAAATAAATGATTTTATAAATATAACATATACGGTAATATAAATAACATAATACATTTATACATTTCTAGAGAAAAAAAGTAACTGGGAAGAAAAGATGAAAAAAGACATGTTACATACCCATTATACAGCTATAAGTTTATATTGAGAAATAAATCTATTCATAATTCTTAGAATCTGTCAACTTGCTTTGGACTTGACATCAGCCTTTCAAAATGCTTTGCCATAGATGTTGAAAATCTAGACTGAGGTTCAAACAATTATTTTACCAGCCCTATATGTCTTAAGTCACCCACTTAAGTGGTTTAAAAGTAAGTTGAACTTGTTGGAAAAACTTTGGCAATGTATAAACAATTATCAAAAACAATGCTGCATTTCCAATATGCTGTATTTCTTGCACCTTTTAAATTCCAGTGTTACCAATGCTATGACCTAATAAATATTGTCAAAAGGTTAAGAAATCCATACTTAACAAAAGTGCATGACACATATTCACAAAAGGTCAAAATGAAAACCGGTGCCAAAAAATTAAGTGTCAGGCCGGGTGCAGTAGCTCACGCTTGTAAACCCAGCACTTTGGGAGGCAGAGGCGAGAGGATTGTCTGAGCCCACAGGTGTGTGACCAGCCTTGGCGTGACCTCATCTCTACAGGAGATCAAAAAATAAACTGGGCATGGTGACACATACCTGTGGTTCCAGCTATCAGAAGGCTGAGGCGGAAGAATCACCTGAACCCAGCAGGTCGAGGCTGTGGTGGCCGTGAGTATGCCACTGCACTCCAGCCTAGGCGACAGAGTGAGACTCTGACTCAGAAAAAAAAAAATTAAATATCAAGGGTCTCCTATATCTCTTTACTTTGCAGTCTTACAAAATGATTCCAAAAGAGCTAGTCCTTTGCTACCTTGAAAATTCTTTCTTGATAATAGTGTCCCTTAGACTATTACTGATAATCTTTGTTTCACAAGACATCTTGAAGTGAGTGGTCAATTCCAATCACATCTTATCTATGAAACTGATAGGAAATACATATTGTTTTAGTCAATTTTTCTTTCATTCACTGAAAATGTCTACTTCGACTTCTTACAGTCTGGATGAGTTTATTTAGGGAATCCTCTCATTTTGATGATGAGAAAGCTGAGATCCCATGACATTAGTGACAAGAAACACATATACACACACCTTTTTGTAACTACTGTAACTCGGCTTTTAGTCTCAACATATTTTTGAAACTCTCAAAGGTCATCAAATCCAGTGGTTTCATCTCCTTCCTCACCTATTAAGATTCTTAACACTGCCCTTACCTTATTCAACTTCCTTTGATTTTGTGATATACAATATATTTCTCTGGTTCCTTTCCTTCCTACTTTTTTTGTTTCCCTCTCAAATGCTCTCTTGTCTCCTTTAATTTCATCACTTCTATATAGATGACTACAAATCCACATTCCCCAACCCAAATCCATCTCTCCAGAGTCTTAACGCCAAGTGTCCACAGAGCATTTCTACCTGCTTATCCCATCTTCCCTCAACCTGGCTAAGATTATTGCACATCTCCTATACATCCAGTTTCCTCATCTTTCCAGTTTCAGTCAACGACCCCCTCACAATTTTCACAATTTAAAACCAGCCATTTCCTATGATAGCAAACACTAAAAGATAACCAGATCTGGGAGAAATCATGGGTCATTCTTGAACATGCCTCATTCAGGGTATCTTCGTGACATTTAATTAGAAATGGGGAGTATGAAGTTGTATATGTGAGTCTGGAGTCTTTTCCTTTGTCTCCAAAACCAAATCCTTAAGAATTATTTCATAAATTTAATATTCCCAAAATGAATTTCATTAAATATGTTCTTTTCAAAAGAATTATTTTAAACCATTGGCACTTTCTACACCACTTCAAATACAGATGCAATTTTAAGGGCTTTAATTGCTTCAACTGAGACAAGCTGATTTTATAATCTGTCACATTTCTTTTGCACATTTAACCATTTCAGTGTTTCTGTACATGATGAAGTTTATATCTGTGCTACTAGGGGAAAGTAAGCCAGCTCAAATTACCCAGCGATAATTCAGCCATATTTCTCCAAATGGGTTTTGTTCCTCTTCTATTTGCTTAGCAACTTGGAACAGAATATGCAACTGACAAAGGCTAACGTTTGCCTTCGTTTTTTTTGTTTTTTTTTTCAGGTTTCCCTCCAATACGATGAATCATTTTATATTTAAAGATGATTTTTGTCCAAAGTTGCATCTTTGAATATTTGAGTTCTAAATCTACTTTCCTTCAATACCTTTCCTTTTAAAATCATCAATAGTAACAAAAAATAAAATAGTGATACCCCTAAATGTCACGGAGAGCTAGATAAAGGAAATGCATCACTTACTAAACCATATGCCAATTTTTTTAAAGCAAGATTTATTGAGAGGACAGAAAATCTCCCACAGTGGGAGGGGACTCGATGGGGTTGCCCCATATACCAAATTTTAAATTTCATTCACCAATATCACAAAAGTTTTATGATTGAAAATCAGCTTGTAGTTTCTTGATAGCAGTAATTCATCCTGGCAACTGATTAAAAGGTATGCCGTTTTAAAATGTTTCAAATAGTTTTAATAATAACTCTATGACCTCATTTCTTCCACGCAAAAATCAGTAAATTTTCAATGGGAAGTCTTCCTATGAATAGAGCAGTCCTGTAGATTTGTTTGGGAAGAGCGAGATTTATTTGGAAAGACTGCTCTATCCTGCTCCTTATCTCTGGGTGGCATAACTGTGTCCACACATAATGAATGGTGCATCCTCTGGCAGGAGTGATGCTAACAGCACATGCCCTCCAGCAGCCTGCCCTGCACGCAGCTGATATTATGACAGTCCCTGCTTCAGGCATTCCTCTTCAGTTTAAAGGGTATAGAGAAAACATCAGAGTTAGGTAGAGACAGACTGTCACTTCCAGGACAGTGATTGCCTTCTGCAATTGCGTATCATAAAATCTATGATCCTTTATAAATATTTAAAGGCAGTGTCCTACAGCATTACTAAACGCTGTGTAGAGGTCTGGAGAAATATTTTATAAGAGCCATGTACGACATGTATCTTCAGTAATAGGATATAAATTTATGGCATGGGTTTTAAAGTTGTAAACTGTATGTATTCATCATAATCTGGGATAGAGAGAAAAGTTGGATGAAATAACCAGGAGTTTCCTCCACCATTATGAATCTCGCTTCTTTAGCTCTATGATGGCAAATTGAAACAGAGAGCTTGGTAATTTTTCTGACTAACTTAAGCAAAACAAAGCTAATGAGCTATATATGACTTCTGAAAAATAGTATTTGAAAACCTATTGTCCAAATTACCTGTCCAAATTTGCTAAATAAGTGGTCAATAATTTTATATATGCTCAAAGTATCTAAAGAATAAAGAAGGAATATTTTAATGGAAGCCCATTTAGTGAATTTGAAATTCAGAAAATGATGTCCCATCGTTAACAACTAAAATCTGAGAGATTTTTCATAGAGTTATCAAAATGTTCTCTCATTTGTTAGCATCTAAAATAATTATGCCAGCAATATGGTCTACAGGCTGCTTCTACCAACTGACTAGACAACGATTTTCTCAAATTAAATTAACCCCATACTCTATAGTTTATAGAAATAAGTCTCTTTCAAAAAGGCTTCAATATCTCACCAGATGAAGATATTTCCAATAGGGCTCATCTTTAGAGAAAAAAAAAAGCTTATACTTTATTAACTCTTCAAAAAAGTAAAGCAAGTCATGGATTAATTAGAATGAGCTGGCTGGGTGTGGTGGTTCAAATCCCAGCACTTTGAAATGCCAAGGCGGGAGGATTGCTTGAGTCCAAGACTCAATACCAGCATAGGCAACATGGTGAGACCTTGTCTTCACAAAGAAAAAATAAACTGGGTGTGGCAGCGCACACCTATAGTGTCAGCTACTGGGGATACTGAGGCGTCAGGATTGCCTGAGCTCAGAAGATCAAGGCTATGGTGAGTCATAATCATGCCACTACACTCCAGCCTACATGACACAGTGAAACCTCAACTCAAAAAAAAAAAAAAAAAAGTTTTGGCATGGGATCAGAAGATCTGGTTTTCCTTCTGGATCTGCCACTAACTAGAGGTTTGCCCATTTGACAAATGCCAGTGACACCTTTAAAGACATGTAATTATTTTAAAATGAGATTAATGTGTTAAAATTTATTTTTCAAGTATAACAATAAACAAATGTATAACAAAACTGTCTGTAGAAGAGTCATTAACTGTGTACAAAAATCTACTCTCTCCTTTTTATTTTTTTATTTTTTTGAGTTGGAGTCTCACTCTGTCACCCAGGCTGGGTTGCAGTGGCACGCTCCTGGCCACCGAAGCCTTGACCTGCCGGACTCAGGTGATCCTTCCACCTCAGCCTTCCAAGTAACTGGAACTATAGGCGCACTCTATCACGCCTGATTTATTTTTTTGTTTATTGTAGAGACAAGGTCTCACCAAGTTGCCCAGACTGGTCTCGAACCCCTGAGCTCAGACAATCCTCTCGCCTTGGCCTCCCAAAATGCTGGGATTACAGGCTTGAACCACTGCACCTGGCCTCTCTCTTTCTTAATAGACTATATTTCCCAGCCTCCCTTGTAGTTGGATAGTCATGTGGCTAGATTCCACTTGAAGAAATGTGTAAAGTAATATGGTAAATCTCA